CAATCTTTTAAAAAATAAATGCACTCAAGTCTTTGTATCCATCTTCAATGAACTCTTTAGCCACATTCCTTAGTTTTGGCATTTAGTTCTAAGGTACCATTTTTGTCATTTAGTTCTAAGCATTTCAAAATTTGCACTGTGATTTCTTGTCTAGGAAGCTCTTTTACTTTGCCTTCAATTTTAAATAACCTTGCTGAATACAGTAGTCTTGCTTGCATGTCTTTGCTTTTCATTACTTTGGATCTGTCGTGCTACTCCCTTCTGGCCTGAAATGTTTCTGTTGAGAAATCAGCTGACATTCTCATGAGAACTACCTTGTAGGTAACTGTCCCTCTCTTGCTGCCTTTATAAGTCTCTCTTCGTCTTTAAACACTGACATTTTAATTATGATGTACCTTGGTGTGGGCCTCTTTGTGTTCATCTTGATGGGACTCTGTGCTTCCTAAACATTTGTCTTTTTCCTTCGCCAGATTAGGGAAGTTTTCTGCCATAATTTCTTCAAACAGTTCTCTATCCCTTGCTGATTTTCTTCTCCTTTTGGTACCCTATTATGCAGATGTTGTTACATTTCATGTTGTTCCAAATTTCCCTTAAACTATGTTCATTCTTTTTCTGCTCTGGGTGTTTTGTTTCCCTACCTTGCCTTCCAAATTGTTGATACAATCTTCTATTTCATCTAGCCTACTGTTTATTCCTTCCAGTGTATTCTTGTCAGATATGCTATTCTTCATTTCCAACTGGTCCTTTTTTCATTATTTCTATGCCTCTTTCATAGTGTTGTAGCTCTTACTAAGTTCCTTGAGCATCCTGGTAATATTACTTTGAACTCTATGTCTGATAAATTGCTAGCCTCCATTTCATTTAGCACTCTTTCTGGAGATTCTTCCTGTTCTTTCATTTGGGGCCTATTTCTTCATATCCCCATTTTTGTTGTCTCTTGCGCTTGTTTCTATGTATTAAGTAGATCTTCTATGATTCCTAGTCTTCATGGGAGTGGCTTTATGTAGTAGGTGTCCTGTGGGACTCAGTGGTGCTATCTCTTTGACCTCCTGAGCTGAGTGCTCTAAGAATATCCCTTGTTTGGGTTTTGTGGGTCCTGCTATTGTAATTGAGTCTTCACTGCTACTGGCCCACCTGATCAACCTTCAGGCTGGCTGACTGTGAGATTATCACACCAGCTGTTGTGTGTATGCTGGCCCAAAAAAAGAAAAGAAGAAAAAAAGGGAAAAAAGAAAAATAGAAAAAAATATATAATAAATAATAGTATATGTATAAGCATATATATAAATAAAAATTAAAAATCTGAAAATCAATTAAAATAAAAAAGAATAAACAGAAAGAAACAAAGAACAAGCAAATAAAAATAAGAATGAATAGAACAGAAAATGAAAAAGAAGAAAATAAAAAATATATAGGAGAAGCAAAAAATTTTAAAAAGAGAAAAATGAAATTCTCCGCATAGTTTGGTGCTTTTGGCTATACTATTTTTGAAGTTTATCGATTCCTGCTCCATTATTGTCTGGTGCTGGCCTCTTGGTATGCTTGTTCTGGGCTCTGAAGGAAGGACTCTGATTTAAGCCAATGTCAGATGCACTTGTCCTGTCCATGCCTTGCTATGAGCAACCAGCTTGAAGCTGGCAGTGATTCACAGTTTGTGGATCACTGCTGCTCCTGGACCTGGATGCACCTGGGAAAGACCAGGCTGCTCTCCAAGGCTGGATTTCAAGAACACTGGGCCCAGGGGTGGACCCGCATACCTCCCAAGGCACCCTGGGTTCTGCCCCATCTGCCAGGCTTTAGGCTTAGTCACTGAGAGAGGCTCTGGCAAAGTGGAGAAGATGGAACTAATGGGTTTCTGATGAGGGAGAGGTGTTGTTCAGGCTTCAGCAAAGATGGTAGGTGTCACCCTCACCCCAGAGCCACTAAGTCTATCCTAAATTCTGCCCTGACCTTGGCAGGGTGGAGCCCCAATATTCAGGTGGGTGGGGCCTCTGGAGCCCAGGGGTTAGGTCTGCCAGAAGCCAGAAGGGTGTTTCTGTGGGATCTCCCATGGCGGGTGTAGCACCAGTCAGGTTCATAGAAAAGTGGGGAGAATAACCCCTCCCTACAGCCACTCACTAATCCCCAGCTCCCCATCCCCATCTTCCCAGACTCCAATGCCTTCCCAGCCTATGCCTATGCTTATGCCACTAGTTTCTCAGGTGAGGCAAGAAAAATTCCTAAGGGTGGGGTAATTGCCTTCCTCCAGTTTGTCCCAATGGAAAGGGGGCTGCTACTCAGAAAAGATGAATGACTCAGCACCAGGATAATGGTCACTATACACCCAAGTCTGTCCCTGGTATCCAACACCCCAGACTCCCCTCAGGTAACTTCAGTTCAGACCACACTCCCTCTGCTAGCCACCAGGGTGAGTGGCTGCAAATGCAGTTTTGTACGTTATCTCTTTAAGAGGGTGTCTGTGCTTCCAGCAGACTCTGCCTTTCCTTGGTGGACAGAACACCTCCCCACCTCTTTTTCACTGCAATGCTGTGTGGGCACCTCTCCCAGGCTCTGGTGCTCTGTGCTGGGGAGCCCATGCTGTGGTTCAGGCTGTTCCCCTCATAGGGAACCTCCCACAACTGCCAAGGAAGTGAGCCCGTGCCTTTCTCTACATCGTCTTTCCTATCAGTCTCAGAATGGCTTCTTTCACAGCTCCTTGGTTCTAAAATCTACTCTTCAGCCAGTCTTCAGCTGGTCATGCAGGGTAATTTTTCTTAATTTAGTTGAATTTCCAGTTTGGTTCTGGGAGGAGATGAATGCAAGATCCACCTACTCTGCCACCATCTTGAAAAACACACACTGTGACTTCTTAAACCATACATTTCTTAGAAATAAATTTTTTAGATTCCAAATGTATCCTTTATCTTCTTATTGTTGTTTATAATTTAATTGTATTGTAGTCACAAGAAATGTGAACTTATGAGATGATGATTTTCTGAGTGTTCTGAGGTATCTCTGATGACCTTGTAATATAGTCAAATTTTCAAATAATGGTCATGTGCCTTCAATACAAATTCTGTTAGCTTTTAAGTCATGTGTGTAAATCTAAGCCTTTAATCTCTTTTTTAATTGGCATATTCTAATAAAAATGTGTTAAAAATCTCCCATTATGGTTGTAGAGTTGCCAATTTCTCCTTTAAATTCAGTCAAATTTTGCTGCTACATGTACAATTGTGATTTTCATGCTCCTTGTAAACTATCCTTTTAACTTATATAATGACATTCTTTATCTCTATTAATATTCAATGTGCCTTAAATTCTACTTTTTTCTGATGTTAATATTGCTATTCTAGCTTTCCAGTTTGGGATTGGTCTGGTTCCTGGAGCTTTTACTTTCAACCTTTCTGAATCACATTGAGTTATATTTCTTCTAAAAACCATAGAGCTGAATTTTTAAAAAATCCAAACTGATAGTCTGTCTTTCAGTAGGTAAGTTCAATCCATTTAAATTTGCTGTGACACATTTCTACCCTCTTATTTTGTGTTTTCTATTTACCATTCTATCCTTCACCCCATAATCTCCTTTCCTGTCTTCTCTTGATTAATAAGAATTCTACTTCCATTTTTGTTTCCTTTTAGGTTAGGTTGTATTTCCATATTTTAATAATTAACCTATCAACACTGTATATAATCGATGCCTGTAACATTAGTGCAATCCTCTGATAACCCTTGTCTATTAGCACCACTGTTTTAAGATTGTTCACACTAAGGTAGCAAAGATTCAATTAATACAGCAATCAGAAAACCACATTTGCACTTGGTGCCTTGACATGGCTGAAGACAATCCTTTTTCTCTAATGCGCAGTACCATCCTCACTAGGTATATAAAATATTTCCCTGACTTTGGTGACTTTCAAGTGAGATGTGTGCACATCTATAGTCCTATCAGAAAATTATTTTTCATCTAAAAATAACTTCATAGGATTTATTGCTCTGCTCTTCTGCAGTTTTATCAAAATTCAGCTTTATATATGAAGTTTTATTGTAGGAGTTTTCTACTTTTCAACTCAGGGCTTGAAACTTCATCTTAACATTATTTATAAATAGAAAAGAGTTGGAAATAATCCAAATGTTCATCAAGGGAATGGCTAAGCAAATTGTGCTGTAGAATACCTATCAAAAATCTTCATAAGATCTACATACATGACAGATTATATATGTATGTATATTACACTGTTTCATGAACATGTTAACTGAGTACAGCAGAACATGAAATACCACACGCGTAATGATTGCTACTATGTGTGAATGGAAGAATGTATATACTGCATGCATCAATGGAGTACTTGAGGAATGATAGTTTAAAATTAATTTGAAAATTTTCCCTTAGAGTAAGTTTTCTCTTTCTTTTTTTCTTTTTTTCCCATTTTTCTCATGGTTGTAGTGGCCATCATCATCATCTTTTTTTTAATAAAACCTACCTTTCAGTTCCTAACAAGGCCTTGGCTTATTTCCCATACTTTTTAGGTTAACACAAATCAGATCACTGTGGTAAATTCATATTTCACTACATACACGTGTGGCTGATTTCATTTCCTGGCAGTGATATGCATCTGGGAAAAGTTAAGTCTAACTGAAATTCAATTTAAAAGCAAAGTTTTATGCTCGTCTGAAATGTGGGATGCTTTATTTGATTTTATTTTTCACCAGACAATGATTCAAAAAGGAAGGCCAAAATTCCGTCTAAAATGTTAGTGCATTCCTCTTGTCACAAAAAAACCATTGTTCTAGCTCCTCTGGTTCTAGCTCCCTTGTCAGAGCTTTGTCAAAATTGCCAAATTGTGAGAGTAAAAACAAATTTTATTCTGTTCTTCTTCTTATTAAATATGTATTACATATTATATATCATAGACTTTTAAAAGTATATACATCTTAAAATTTTTTAAATTAGATCCATACAAGGTAGTTTATATGGACTTAAATCTGCTTTTAACTAGATTTACCCTTCTTCCTCTTTTCAGAGACACATGAACACCACTGACAGATATAAAATGGACAACAATTTTACCACACCCTCTACAGCCCCTCAGGAAAGTGACTGTGATCTCTATGCACACCGTGACACAGCCAGGATATTAATGCCTCTGCATTACAGCATTGTCTTCATAATTGGGCTGGTGGGAAACTTGTTAGCCTTGGTTGTCATTATTCAAAACAGGAAGAAAATCAACTCGACCACACTATATTCAACAAATCTGGTAATTTCTGATATACTCTTTACCACAGCTTTACCTACACGGATAGCCTACTATGCACTGGGCTTTGACTGGAGAATTGGTGAGGCCTTGTGCAGGGTAACTGCTCTTGTGTTTTACATCAATACATATGCAGGGGTGAACTTCATGACCTGCTTGAGCATAGATCGGTTCTTTGCTGTGGTGCACCCTCTGCGATACAACAAGATGAAAAGAATTGAACATGCAAAGGGCATTTGCATATTTGTCTGGATTCTAGTATTTGCTCAAACACTCCCATTACTCATAAAATCTATGTCAAAGCAGGAGAACGAAAAGACTACATGCATGGAATACCCAAACTTTGAAGAAACAAAATCTCTTCCCTGGATTCTGCTCGGTGCATGCTTCATAGGATATGTGCTTCCACTCATGATTATTCTCATCTGCTATTCTCAAATCTGTTGCAAACTCTTTAAAACTGCGAAACAAAACCCACTAGCTGAGAAGTCTGGTGTAAACAAAAAGGCTCTCAACACAATTATTTTTATAATTGTTGTGTTTATTCTCTGTTTCACACCTTACCATGTAGCAATTATTCAGCACATGATTAAGAAGCTTCGTTTTCCTAATCTCCTGGAATGTAGCCAAAGACATTCATTCCAGATTTCTCTGCACTTCACAGTATGCCTGATGAATTTTAATTGCTGCATGGACCCTTTTATATATTTCTTTGCATGTAAAGGTTACAAGAGAAAAGTTATGAAGATGCTGAAACGTCAAGTCAGTGTATCAATTTCCAGTGCTGTGAAGTCAGCCCCTGAAGAAAACTCACGTGAAATGACAGAAACTCAAATAATGTTACATTCCAAGTCTTTAAGTGAAAAATAAAAAGAAATTAAATCTTGGATGTATAGCAAAGTAAACTGTATAACAAACTTTGCAGGACTTTTCTTATAAAGCAAAATGATTCTTCAACTTCCAGTTAGAACTCTTAAATTCCTTTCATTGGGCACTATTTCCCTTTCCACCTCCAACTTAGAAGTAACCTGATAAATATGTATTTTTTACACTCAAGATAACAATATGAAGCAAAATTCTAATTTGTTAATAAAAGACTATACCAAAAGGGAGACTATATTAATAACTCAGGATAGAAAGAATAGTTTTGTGTTAATGAGAAATTTCATCATTCACATTTTTTACTAGCAATCTGTCAAAATAAAAAAGACTGTTAAGCCCTGGCTGGTGTAGCTCAGTGGATTGAGCATGGGCCTGCGAATCAAAAGATCACGGTTTGATTCCCCATCAGGGCACATGCCTGGGCTGCAGGCCAGTTCCCAGCAGGGGCCAGTTCCCAGCAGGGGCCAGTTTCCAGCAGGGGATGCACCAGAAGCAACCATACATTGATATTTCTCTCTTTCCCTTCCCTTTTAAATATAAATAAATGAAAATTTTTTAAAAAGACTGTTAAGATTGTATATAGCCAGTGTAAAAATGTTAATATCATAACATATTTCTTTTCTTGATAATGTATTTCTTCCATCCATTTTTTTACTCTTAGACTTTATTTCCTCAATAACACAACTGTTTTGTTTTGTTTTGTTCTGGGTCACAAAATTTTGTTTCAGAGAACTTTTCTGGAATAAACAACAGGATTCTACAAAATTGAGTATGTTCTTCAATGTTCATTGTCAACTATCAGCAAAAGTTACAAGGAGACTGTAATTTAGTGGTAGATTGGGAAAGCACATTATAGTACATGATGACAGTAACAGAGGCAATGAAAGCACTGAGCTCTTCCTCCAAACTGCCAGCATAGTAAGGGCCACTGCTTAGGAATATAACAAGGGCTCTTTGTGGATATACCCATATGGAAGAGGGGCCACTTGCTAAATGCTTCTCGGGAATGAAAAATAACAAATAGCCCTGGATGGTGTAGCTCAGTGGACTGAGTGCTGGCCTGTAAATAAAAGGGTCGCCAGTTCAATTGCCAGTCAGGGCACATATCTGGATTAGGAGCCAGGTCTCCAGCAGGGGGTACGCAAGAGGCAACCACACGTTGATGTTTCTCTCTTTCTCCATCCCTTCCCCTCTCTGGAAGTAAATAAATAAAAAAATTTAAAACATATACTTATTTGTCTTGGGTCTCTAGGGAATCATTTCTTTTCTTTTTTCTTAATTCACAGGTTGGTAGTATCCTGTATCTTTCAATGGCCTGGGTTACCAGAAAGGGTAGGAAGGATAAACAGCAGGTGGTATAGTTGCTGCTTGCCTAAAAAAGATAGGGACTAAAATGCAAAATTATAAACTTAAGAGTTCACAGCATTCTTTACAACATTATATATTTGCTCAAATGAGTACCTTAGTATGAGTAGTATGACTATTATGAGTATATACTAACTAAATTTGTTTTACTCAACCCTGAAATACCCTAATACAGTATCTATGTTAACAATGATACCAATTTTGATAATGGAATGTAAAGAAATGAAATGCTGTATCATAAGTCATCCTTTAAATTTTTATTAGGCTTTATATCCTAGAAATGTTTTGTTTTAAATTCTTACTCATTTTCAACTTTTATCCCGTAAGAAAATTATCTTAATGGTTGATTCAATGCTATTTACTGAGTACTTTCAGATTTGAATTGCATTAACTTCACAAGAAGCTCCCTGACCTTAAAGCTCCCTGACAGACAAAAATAGGTACTGATTTTTTAAACACTTGCAGGGCTCTCCAACCTTTAGGTGTCTCTGAGCCACAATGGAAGAAGAGCTGTCTCGGACCACACAGTAAATACACTGCAACATGTAATCATTAAAAAAAAATCTCTTAATGTTTTAAATAAATTCACAATTTTGTGTTGGGCCACGTTCACAGCCATCCTGAGCTGCATGCAGCCTGTGGGCCACAAGTTGGACACCCTTGCTTTATGGAGATCGGTGGGACCACACAGATGAAGATCAGAATCTTAGGGCCTTTCCTTCATCTATAAACCTTTCCTAAGTGAAGAAGAAGAAAAAAAAACACATTAAATTTCATGCATGTAGTGAATTTTTTAAGTGATGGAGAAGGGAGAAAGAGAGGGAGAGAAACATAGATTGATTGCCTTTTGCCCCGACTGGAGATGGAACCTGCAACCTAGCTATGTGCCCCGACTGAGAGCAGAACCTGCGACCTTTCACTTTGCAGGACGATGCCCAACCAACTGAGCCACACCAACCAGGGCTTCATGTCATCTGGGTTGGGTCCCATATAAGAAACCACTGCGAAAGCTACTAAAGGAAAGCCAGAAACAAAGTTTCCTTAATTTCAGAGTATCTTTATGGTATACTAGCTATATGACTACATTTGATCTTAAACTATTCTACGTATGAATCAACATCCTGCTTCACAGCACTGAGAGGACTCTTTTATCTGCTGTGAAGTTAACCATATTTACTTCCTTCACAATTTTATGTTTATTTCTAAAAGGATCATTTGGTTAATTTAAAAAAAACACCTCAACGGTATTATGTTCAAATCAGTATAAATGCATTGATTCTTCAGTGACATCACAGAATAGTACAGATAGTACAGAATAGTAAATGTTAGATGTCAGAAAGGACATCAGGTAAATATGAAGAGCTCAGTAACTTACAAAATAGTCCACACAGTATGCAATCTTTTCCTTTATACAATCCTGTGAAACAGGATGAGCAGATAGTATTGGCCACACTTTACAAATAAACCTAATAAGTTAAGAAAAAGCACCTGGTAAATCAGAGCTAGCATGAGGAATGTAATCCTAACTCCATAAAAAAAACAACTGAATGAGACCAAAAATGTAATAGAAGGCTTAATTGTTTCACTATATACCAGCAGACGGGCCATCCTTAAAAAGGACAAATAACTAATAGTTGGTAGATTATAAACTCAGCTAGGCTGTCAGTTATGTGGATGAAGATGTTGTCCATTATATAGAAAGCACATGGTACACAGCCTGGTCCACAGAAGGTTCTCAAATCTCCATCTAATCAAATAGCACATGTTTTGTACTATTACTAACAATATTCTAAAGTCCTACTGAAATATGAAGTTCTTAATTTCTCAATGAAGTGAAAAGGAACCCCTAAATGATTAATTACATGTTAGACCATAGGTGTAACAGAAGATCATTACCCTCTAGCACCCTGTAATTTAAACCAGAGCTATTAAAAGATAGAGCTGGTGCTACATATGCTGATCAACGTTTCTCTCTCTCTTTTCCTCCATCCCTCCCTCCCACCCGCCTGCCCTCCCTCTTCCTCTACCTCTCCCTTCCTCTCTGAACATACTCTCAGGTGAGAATTAAAAAAAAAAAAAAAGAGCTAACTGCCCAACAAGCCCATTTAAATGCAGATACAGAAATATGTTCTCCTTGGAAATAATTTCATATTTCAAGAGGCAAAGGGCAGTGAAAAAAAGTAAATCTAAAAAAAAGTAGCAGCCAATTTTAAAAGGGGAAGCACTGATCTTAAATTAGCCCTTAAAATGATCTATTCTGGTCACTTTTTAGCCTATTGTAATTTATTATTCTTTGCAAAGCTAAAAATATTTGCTCACTGACTATTCAGGTAAGAATAAAAGCTGGTGTGCTGACAATATGGCCCACTCTTTTGAATCCTGGCAGAACTAAATGTACCCATGAGAACTGTTGTCAATAGAAGTCTATTTTATATTCAACTCTGAAAAACTGATCATTTTTAAGATAATCCCCAAGTTTTATTTCAACTAAAAGCTCTATTTGATAAGAAGGAACAATTATTTACTGTTTACTACATGCCACTTTTCAGAGCACTTGATAAGCATTATGTATTTAATCCTCACTACTTTTAAGAGATGGGTACAAATATCATCTCCATTTTGCTGATGAGGAAACTAGAATGGCAGGCCACATGGAGAGGTGGAGCCAGCAATTAAATCCAGACCACCTGACATCAGTTCCTGTAGCCTAACTTGGAGTCTGAGGATGTTACCACTTCTAGAAACATGTCCATTATGAGATGGCTCTATTCCTCTACTTCCTGTGGCTTTCTGTGGCTTGGATATCTCCTTTTACCACACTGGGACTGTAGACCATCTTCTTTCCCTGCAGGGACCCCTAATTTCTCTGCAAACTCAAGCTTCTTTCTCTCAGTCACCCACAACTCATCATCCTTCTCTATTCCATGGTATTTAGCCAGTGAATCTTGCTTGGGTTTTCTCCTCTTGCACTCCCTCACCCATCTTTTCTCTGCCCAATATCATCATCCTAGTCCAGATGCTGGCATCATAGACATATAACTACAACTTCTTTTCCACTGGCCCCCTCAATTGTTATACCAGAAGCCAGCAGATTAATAATAACAATAATACTTGCTAAAAATTATGTTACAGTGCTCTAACACACATATGTGTGTGTGTTTGCTCATTCAAGTCTCACAACTCACGATAATTCTGTGAGGCTCTTGTCATTACTATCCCTGTTTTACAAAGAAATTATGCTCCAGCAAAGCTGAGTAACTTTCCCAAGGTCACACAGCTAGTAAGTGGGAAAACCAGGCTCTAGATGGGCAGTCCATTTCCAGGGTATTCACCCGTGACCACTGTATGTCCCTTTTAAACAAGTAGAATTATATGCCCTAGATTCTCAGAGAGCCTTGGAAGAGACACTTACTGCTCATCGAACACTCTTAAATTCACTAGAGGGGCACGTGTGACTACTTCTGGCCAATCAGTGAGAACAAAAGTAACATATGTCACTTTTAGGCTGAAGCATTAGAGAGCAGTGAGGAATATTCCATCCCACTCTTCTCTCCTACCACAGCAACCAGTGATGTTCTTGATGGTGGGTCCTTTGTAAGCAGGGGTCCTTGCATGAGTAAATGGAGACTTCCCTACCCCCACATCCAATCCACCTGTATTAGCCAAGTAGTGCAAACAAGGAATACACTCATGCGGTGATTTTCAATCTGGGTGACTATTTAATCAGGGGCACTGACCTCTTTTCCCTTAGAATTGTCAAATTAAAAAAAAAGAGACAACAGCCAACACAACAACAGATGTCTGATGTGAATGAATCAAAATTATACCTATTTTTTTGGGGGGGGTGTCAGACTGGTAAAAAATGTATTTCTTATTGTGCCACAGAATTTTGAGATTCTGTGTGCCATGAGATAGAAAAGACTGAAAATCAATGTACTTATGTATTCAGCCACTGAGATTTCAGGGTTGATTTGTGGCTACAACATAAGCTAGCCTTCTGGTTAATAAAATGTTTCACCCAATTAGAATGAAACAGAACAATAAACACAGTGTAAGAAAAGAAAAATGCAGACACTGACCAGTTCTCCTGGCAAACACTTATCTTCCTTAATCCCACTTTCACTGTGTTGTTTCATGCTCAAGGACTGAGAATAGTTCCCCATGATCTACCACATGAAGTCCAAGTTCCTTTCCTATACTTTCAAGCCCATGCCACCCAATTCCCCTCCATTACTCAACATGTGCCACTTAAGTTAGCCTAGTTGGTTTTGCCTCTGTCCCATGAATATAACAAATATTTCATTCTCACTGGTTGGATTATTCCATTTCCTCCATGTATTCTTTACACTAACATCCCAATTGTACCTACTTCTTTAATTTTTCTTTTACTACTCAAAGCCACTCATCTTTCTTTCCACAACTTATTTAGCTTTTATATAGTTTTAACTTTACAAGTATATTACCTTACAACAGAAGAGAAAAAGACACACTGCCCTAAAAACCTATGGACTGGTTTTGGTTTGAGGGCTAGTCAGCTACCATGTACTGGTACTGGGCCACACAGCAGGAGGTGAGCAGTGGGCAAGTGAGAGCAAAGCTATACTTGCATTATGGCATGAGCTCCACCTCCTGTCTACCTTCTCTCTTCCCCACCCTGGGGGCCATGGGAAACTTGTCTTCCACAAAACCAGCCCCTGATGCCAAAAGGGTTGGGGACTGTTGAGCTACACCACCTCTGTCCATTCTTTTAGCCTTTCTAGATTTGTTTTTTTTTAAATCAAAGAAATAACATTGTTCTATAATATGCAAGCTCTCTGCCAACCATCATACAGCCTATGACCTATTATTTCATGTGCATTACTC